ATGAAAAATAAAAAGTATCTACCATTTACTGGCAATCTTATTGTGGATCGGGCTATAGAACCAGATCCTCTTGATCTGAAATGATTAAATAAAGAATGAGTTACACTAACCCAGTAAGAATATCACACTATATCGTCGGCATAGAAACAAATGTTGGTATAAAATCAAAACAACTAATAAAGTACTAAATTTATCAAATTCGTTTTCAATCATAAAACTATTTACCGTTCACTTACCGTAGTGAAATTTATGAAAACAATTTATAGAGACAATAATACCATACAGATTAGAATTTTATGAACACCCAGTAACATAGAACATATCATAAATTCATATCCATTAACAATAAACTAAATCATAATCGTTTCTTATTTCACTAGCCTAGTAGTATCCATAGGAGTTCATAGGTGTGTCCTCGCTACACGTGAACAATTTTCCTTAACAATCTCAATTACAAGGCCGTCCCCATACCCCATCCGATATGAGACAACTGTCACAGTAAGGTTCTTTATGTATCCGGTTTGTCCACCATCTCCTAGGATATCTAGTAAGGCTATCATTCCATCTGTTTATTTGATCACACCCCTTTCCTGTTTTTCTTTAGTCTCCATTACTAAACCAAACATAATTGCATAGACAAATAAACATACATCTGGTAATGCAATCATGTTACAAATATTAAATCAAACAGTAGTCAAGTAAGGCAGTAATACATGCATTTAAACCATAAAATAGATAAATCAGATACTATCATACTTTTAGACTGTAAAATGAATCAACAGATAATACTGTTCAGTTTGGGATTCATTAGCAATCCGTAATTAATCATGCACCTTTATTTAAATTGCACAAACACCATAATATTATTAATTTAGACTTCAATCCCATGATAGAGAATAAGGTGAGGGATCCTTACTCGATTTGACGATGAAAAGTTAAATGGTTTACTGCGCCTACGGGCGGTCCTTAGGTTCCCTGAAATTTTCTCCGAGAACTGAAACACGCTTATAGTACCTACAAATGTTCCAAATAAATCCAAAATCATCCCAGGCCCTGCTTGGCCAATTTCAAAAATCTGGTACGACGGCAGTCCGCCTCGTGTCGATTGTTTTCGACTGTTTTTGACCGAATTCGGTCGATTTTGCATTGATTCCTTGTGAGCACACACGCAAAAGGGTCTCGGTGGGCTGAAAAAATACGAAATACTGAAACTCACTGGCGGTGGGGCTCTTCGGTGCGGCGGCTCCTCACGTTGTGGTTGGGTGTTTCGCTTCGGTCAACCAGTAGAAAAGAAAACAGTGATCACAACAGTAGAAAAATTACGTGAAACGGGAATCAAGAATGGCCTCATTGGAGGCGGGTTGTGAAATTCCTTGCGGCGCCATTGCCGGACTTCGTCGGTATTTTTTGACCAATTATCCAATTCTTTTACTTCGATTTGGCCATGAGTGAGTTTAAAATTGAATTTCTTGCAAAAAAATTTTTTTTAATCTTTTTTAGCAGTCGGAAAGGATTCTGGTGCGGCGGTGGTTGGCTTCTCGGCGGCTGAGTTGTTTTCTCCGGCGAGGGGTTCTAACGGTTAGGGTTAGGGTTTGAGTGTAGATTGGGTTATTTATACCCATCCATTTTTTATCTGGGTCGTCTATCGCGTTTGATATGAACCGTCCGATTGCGATTAAATAGGGAGTGGATCTGGGCCGTCCGTGTGCAATTCACTTTAGGCCGTCCATACTCGCGAGAACGGATCTCAGCCGTTCGATCGCGCGCACTCGGATCGACCACGTGGCTCCCCCCGCGTGGCCTCCCGCATTAGTGCCTCTGCCATTTGACGCGTTCTGGTTGGTCAGGGTTGTTGACTGGGTATCTGATGTTATAAAATTTTTTTAAATTGTATTTTTATTCTTAATTTCTGATTTTTCTTTTAAAAATACATCTGAACCCAATTTTTCACCCATTTTCTCTAAAATTATTTTCAATTTAATTCTTAATAAATTTTACCATTTTTTTCATTAAATTAAAATAAAAAAATATAAATAAATAAATAATTATATTTATTAATAAAAAATGAAAAAAAAAAGGTTTTGGTGGGTGTTACACACACTGTGTTCATGACCACATTATTTTATCTCTGAATAAATTGATTGAATTATGTTTTACTCCTCGTTTGGTCATAGGAGAGGGCATGAGAGTATAAAAGGGAAAGACAGGGATGAAGTTTCTTTCCCTTTTGGCTTGGCACGGCGGGCCTCCAGTAGGATGCCCACATGACAGGCTATTAGCTCAATGGTAGACTCTGTCCCCTAATAATTGTGTAATCGTGTCAAATTTTCAAAACTATTTTTGATGCTTTATTTTAAATTTAATTACTCGATTATTCTAATATATTTTAAATAAAAAGGAAAGATGGGTATGTGTCGTATATAAAATTATGAGACGATAAGGAGAATCTTACAGCACCATAAAGAAAGATTTAGGGCATGAGGAGACAAAAATGAGTAAGCTTAATAGAGGTGTGTGATGTAGCATGTTGGCTTTTACCATGCATGGCCAAAAAGGTGAGTGAGATGGGAAGTAATCGCCAAAAAGTTGTATGTTCAGGGAAATCTGTAAGCATTAGTATACAGACCTGTTTTCAGATATGCATATAGCTCCCCGTCCTGTAAATATATAAACACTAATGAATGGATTGCCCAAATCCCATCATCTGTTTTAACATATGCATATATACATACATACATACATACATACATATATATATAAATTATAATTGTTTGATGATCATGATCTTTATATCTCGTCTTGGATTTCAGTTTAATGCATCTTGCATTTTGATATTTGCAGGTAGAGGGAGGAAGTGAAGTGAGGACTGCATTAATGGAGCACAGAAGTGGAGTTTAGAAGGTGAAGATCTTGCTCAAGACCGCGCACTTTGCTGCTGAAACCCTGCATCAGGTTTTTGGTGTATCATAATTAACCCTAGCTATTACAAGAAGAAGAGGAAGAAGAAGAAGAAGAAGAAGATAGGCCAAAACCTTGATGCGGGTCTTCATACAATAGGTTGCGTGGTCTTGTACAGCAAGATCTTGCTCCTGCATCAATGGGAGATCCAGGAACACAGACGAATCCATCAGTAGGTATCAACTTTTAACTTTTGAAGAGAATATAATTACCAAACAATTAAGTGCATGTTTAGGTTCTTTTGCGCGAACAAAACATTTTATAATCCAAGCTTGCGATTAACCTTGCTGTTGTGGACGTTGCAAACTCTAAATACAAGAATAATTCTTATGAGGGACTAAAGAATCAGCAAATCAGCGCTTCCAGAGTTTTTAAATCTTTTCAACAAACCGAGATTTTCGTTTCAAAGTTGTTTAAAGATGTTCAACAAAATCGTCGGAAGACAAGAAGATGTTTATTGATCTATTCTCGTTTAGTATGATATGGACTAAATAAAAAGTAAAAGGAATAAATAAATAAATAAAATACAAGAATGTAAGTAATTTAAGTATATAACCAAACAAACTTTTTTATATGGATGATACATTCATCTCTTTATATATTTACTAAGAGCTTGTATTATGATGATAATGTATGTATCATATAATTAATAAAGTGTATTTATTTTTATTAAAAAAATAAAATATTAAATATTGTATGTAATTATCGAGTCATTTAATTTTATTTTTAAAAATTATTACTCGTTTGTTCTTGAAAATAACGCATTTATAACTTATATAAACAAGGAAAATTACTTGGAGGTCAATTGGAGACCTCAATGTAATGTGGGAAGCTTGAAATTAATCCCTGCATTAGTAGTACTATTAACTGGTTGCAAGTTAGTTTGTTTCGAAAGAACAGGCATTTCTACTGGGTTTGAGGTGGGATGAGAGACGGCGAGAGGAGGTCGTTCGAATAATTAACTGCAAATTTTGAATTTTCCTTCCCTCTATTTGTTGTTGTAAGCTTATCTTCTTAACTTTTTTTTTTTTTTTGTTGAAACAAACTCTACCTTTTGCAGCCTAAAATTTACATTTACATTTACATTTGTTTTAAATAATAATTAAATTCTTGTCCTATGCCATGCATAAACTATAGTTTTTATAATTAGATAAAATAAAATACTTTTTTATGTGAACAAAATTACATGGAGTAAAAAAGTTTATGATAAAAATATAATATCAAAAAAAAAAAAAAGATCATATCTTAATCATACATTGTATGTAATTACTAAATTTTTAACTAATTAAGAATACATTCTATAGGAACTCAATCATATTTAAATTCTATTTTTATATTTAAATAATTAATTATTATATATTATCAAATACTTTAACTATTATATATTATTCTAATATATTTAAATTTAATTTTATATTATAATTAAATAAATAGATAACTATTATTTATATTATCCTATTAAATATAAAATTATTTAAAAAATAAAAAATTGACAGCTATATGGTCGCAGACTTGGTCTATTCCATCATAACGGCAGAAACAACGTGCTGACGCTGAATCCCAATCAAACAAAAATTAAACCCAGGGGGCTATCTTTGGACTGATCGTCTTCTCCAATTACAACAGATGCCGGCGTTGATATTCAGAGTCGCGAGTATTCGTAGCTCTCTATTCGCACCCATAAATCTCCCCCATTTTCTCTCTTCCAAACCTACCGCTCTTTCTTTGTTCTCAACTCTCCGGACCAGATCGCAAATGGAGTCCTACGCCACGTCCTCTGGGTCCTCCAAGCTTCTCTTTCGCCAACTCTTTGAGAAGGAATCATGTACTTACACTTACCTTCTCGCCGATGTCTCTCACCCGGATAAACCCGCCTTGGTACGTACACAAAAAAAGAAACAACCATTCTTCACAAATGGATTTTGAATTTTTGGCTGTTTAATTTCAATTTCTTTGTCGTTTGATTTATAATTATTTTCACACTTTCCCTTTTTGACTTCTCAAATTTAATTGTTGTTTGGTTTAGAGACAAACTTTTGGGTTTTGTACAGCTTATTCTTCTTTATGTGATTATGTTTGTTTTAATGAAGTCTGGGGTTCTAAATTTCCAAGGTTTTTCTGGGCAGTTGATTGACCCTGTAGACAAGATGGTTGATAGAGATTTGAATCTTATAAATGAACTGGGATTGAAGCTTGTCTATGCCATGAACACCCATGTCCATGCTGATCATATAACTGGAACCGGGCTTATTAAGGTTGGCATTACTAATTACCTTCTTTCTCAGCCTTTTCCAATTTCTCTTCAACATTGTTTATTTTCTTGGATTTCCAGTTGGGATTTCTTATTTCTAAAGTGTTTCCTTTATTTAAATATTTATCGTCTGTTTTTCGCAGACTAAGGTTCCAGGTGTAAAATCTGTTATTTCTAAAGCAAGCGCTTCAAAAGCTGATGTGTTTCTTGAACCTGGGGATAAAGTCACGTTTGGTGATCTCTTCCTGGAGGTAGGCCTCTGGAGATGCTTACTTTGATGGCTCTGACATTTTATCAACTTCTGCGATATATACAGAATTATCTACCTTCAAAATATTCTCATCTATAGTTTTCTGGTTTAGTGCTAGAAGAAAGGCCCACAGCTAGTATACATACTTCTATTCCTGTGGTTTAGCAAATGACTTATAGGTGATTTTCTTTTGTGAATTTTGATGACTTGTCAACTTTTCTAGTACCCAGATGCATATGTGTAACGAGGGTGGATACAGGTGGATCGAGAATATTGGGATTATTGAAATTATCTCATTACTTAAGTAGATACATGATCATAAAAACTAAAGATGGATTCCCTCCCTCTACCATTTTTCTCTCATGTTTAATGCAGCATGTTTCTATCCCTTATGTGTAAAAGAAAATTTTTGCTTTACCATCCTAAACAGGGAAGTAGATAAGATTAACCAATAATTACAGGAAAGCTTGGGCAAAAATTCAATGGAAAGTCACCCTTCAAACGTGCTGTCTCTTTGAAAGATGTCCTCTTTTTTTTTATTATCCTGAACTGATAGCTTAGTGTCTCAAACTTATATTTTGAAAGATAGTGCATTTAAGAGTTTAATACATGCTATTCTGGCTCATGTACTCAACAAAATCTTTGTTTCAGGCCCGTCCTACTCCTGGCCATACAATAGGTTGTCTTACCTATGTTACTGGAGATGGAGCCGATCAGCCTCAGCCAAGGATGGCATTCACAGGAGACACTTTGTTGATTCGTGGATGTGGAAGAACAGATTTTCAGGTATAGCTTCAAAAAGTATATTGTAACTTGACAGAAAAAGAAAAAAGAAAGGATAATGTTTTTTCTTTTGAAGAAATATTCCCTCTTAGTCACGGTTCAAAAAGACATTATCTCTATTAAAATGCAAAGGTAACACTATTTCTGTTACTAACCTGGAAGTCAAAATTCTGTTAAGCTGGGTCATGGCAATTCAAAGAATTCTGATATGCCAAGTTTTCTGCTGTTCTCGATGGACTACCAATCGGAGATCAAACTAGCAAATTTTTTCATGGAAAGCATTTCAAGTGGATTCTTCTTTATATCTTTGAGAATAAAATTGCTGGTCTTTATTCTCCCAGATCCCTCTTGTTTATAGAAGGTTTTTTGAAGATTCCCCTAACTGACTTCGTCTTCGAATTTAGCCAGCTTGATTCTTTAGACTACCTAACAGATGATTTTTATGGGTTATCATCCATCCCTTGGTATCGTATTTGGTCTCTCCAAACTTTGGTGGTTACATCATGGGGTTGTTATATGCAACTGCAAACAACTTCAAAATTGTCGCTGCTGTAGCTTGGTTAGCATCAGTCTTCTACTCACTTGGCTTTACCCTCTCGGGAGCTGAAGATGACTTCATTGACCATTTGGTAAAAAAAAAAAAATTGTAGACTCTCCAAATTAACCAATGCCATTAGCTATTTCTTTTCAGTGAGCATGTATTGTAGTGATTCATGTCACATGTGTCCTCTTTTATTTTGTTAGGCGAATAGGAAAATAGAATATATTCTGTCTTGGCATATCTTTTATGCTTCAATCTTTGAAGAATTGCCTTTTTTCAAATGTTTTGACAGGGTGGAAATTCAGAGCAACTCTACGAATCAGTACATTCACAGGCAAGTTAAGGAAAAGAAACACCAAGAGAAAAAACCTTATAACATTTAACCTTTTCACTAATAACTACCGATTTCTTTTTTCTTTTTTGATAATGGAAACCAGATCTTCACATTGCCCAATGACACATTGGTTTACCCAGCTCATGACTACAAGGGTTTCACAGTAAGGAAATACACATGTTTACCATTCTTTTTTAGTATGTGAATAGCTGCTTATACAGAACATGGACTTTTAGGTGAGCACAGTAGGAGAAGAGAGGCAATACAATCCACGCCTAACAAAAGATAAGGTAATTATTTGGCTAAAACACTGCATTTTATTGTTCCTGCCAAAAAGCTTTTCCTGTCTATATCATCAAGTGGTTTTCTTTGTCCAGTCATCAGAGAATTGGGTGGAAACTTCTTTTTTGTTCTTTGCCGGATTTATCCAACAAGTCATCATACGTGATTTGGTTTCTGTGAAGCATTATAACTATTTTTGCGTTAGCTGCAATTCTTTTGGGGAAAAATTTGCTGAATTCATGCTTCCTATTCTTTCTTTTTTAGCCGTTTTTTCCCTTTCCAAAGCAATCACCTGATTAACTGACAACTATTTTCAGAAACACCCTAAAAAATGCATTCTAATTGCTGAAGGCACTAGATACCACATCCTATGTTCTCCGTAAGTTATATAAAAAAAAATGGTGTTAGTTCTTTTATAGTTTGATGCACAATGCCCTGGATATATTACTGTGCCAGAAGCATGATAGAAATTCAGGGAGAACAACTTCATGAAGATTCTATACCTTTTTACCTTCAGTAATTCTATCTAAATGTTAAAAGCGTATTATTTGTTATGCATTTATATGTTTCTTTTCTTCCTGCAGGAAGGATTCAAAGCTATCATGGAAAGTAAGTACCTACTAGAATTCAAGTTTGAGAAATGTCTCTTGTAGGGTAGTTTGCCTTGTGTTCTATTGCCTGTCAAACTAAGTGCATGTATATATAATTGTGCAACAGATTTGAATCTTGCATATCCGAAGATGATAGATGTGGCCGTACCTGCAAATATGGTCTGTGGGTTGCAAGATCTGATATCCAAAGTCTGATGCTCGGCTGCACCTGGGTTCTTATTGTGTTGTCCAACATCAAAACATCTATTTTCATCGAATAACATATTGATGGCTCCTGAGTGTGAAAGTTAAATAAACAATATACAGAGAGGTGAAAATCCATGGTAAATGAGCCAATCTATAAATGATGTCTCTACGATCATGATTGTAATCAGTAAATATCTTTCTTCGAAAGGCTAGTTTTGGTGCAAACGAGAAATATACACAATGTTAAACACAAAACTGTACTATGTCCTGTTTCTCTTCAGCACTTTCTCAGAAAGCTTTGTGAACAATGAATAGACTGATGGATGCTAAAGCACTCGAAGAAAGTTTTCAACATTTAAAATTCGTAGAAGGTGAGCCATTCGGAGATTTCCTTTTATTTTTTTGTGTCTATAATAGAATTTGTCTTATTTTAGTGAAGTTGGTATGTGTTGAACGACCAACAAAGCTGAATTTATTCTACTGTTCAATTTGAAGTTTCTCAAACTTTCTGCTTCTCCTTCTTCATTCAAACTTTACATTCTTTTCATTGCTTTGCTCCTCTGTACTTCCCTGTTATCTTTTAAATCTCTTTCTTTTTCTTCTGGCAACCGAACCGGGAAATGCTAAAAAGATTTACTATTGTCTTTTAGATCTGCTTTTTTCAAGCAACCAGTCAACACACTGATAATGAGGTTGATAAGTTTGATGGGTCATCCAAGCATTCTAAATTGAGAGAGTTGATGAGTGTTTCAATGAACCAACTGTTTGGAAAAATTCATCTACCAAGCAATTGGTTTGACAAGAACGTGAAGAGGCTAACTCTGGTTGTGCAAAGTTATAAATATTTTAGGAGATAACTAGTCTTTGTATATAATATTTTAATATCAGCAATTGATATTTTGGTGTACATGAAGTAACGTGGATATAAACAGGTATTTGTTCAGGTGGAGTTCAATTTTACCATGAAAATTTTGAATAAATTATTGGGTATTGCTCAAAAAATGCTTTTAGTATGTTAGATGGATGAATCTCGAAGTGATAAAGGACTTGAATTTTGTAAGAGTGATATTCATGTAATTGCATATTCACCATTAGGGTCATCCAAAAGGAGGCAAAGATTTGATCTTTGAATTAATAGTTGAAAGGAATTGTCAAGAAATTTATTTACGCTTTATTTGGATAAATTTTAATGATGAATAAGTAATATATAATAATGACAGTGATTGAAAGACAATAATATAAGATAGAATGACAAAAAATTTTCACGTTTAAATGATTGTGTATTAATGTATATTAATGACAACTGTTTTATTTGGATGATAAAATAATATTATTGTATTTTTAATTAAATTATTAATTTATCTCTACTTTATTATATGTAATAATAAATAATATATAATAAGTATGTAATGAAAAAAAAATATATAAAAATATAATTAAATTTATATTTAAATAAATAATTATTATATATAATTAAATTAAATTGTTATATTTAATAAAATAAATAATTATTATTTATATTATTATATTAATTTAATTTTAATAAAAATAAAATTATTTATATATTAGAAACAAATAGTTGTAATTATATATTATTATATTAAATTTAAAATTATTTCAATAAACAAAAAATTAAAATGTATTTGAAATAATTATTTATTATGAATTAATTTATTAATTAATTTTGTTTAAAAAATTAATCATCATTGGAATTCCATGTATACAATCATAATTTTTTTTATTAGTTTCAAACTTTTAAATTTATTTTTTTTAACAAAAATGTATAATGTATATATACATATGTAAATATCTCATATTCATATTCAATAATGATAAAATATTTATATTTTATTAACAAATTACTTGAGAATTAAATAAATATCACATTAAAGCAAAATTACTTTAAAAATGTAACTAGTAAAAAATATTGTGCACAAACAAGCAAAGAAAGATAGAAGAAATTATAAATTTAACATAGATTAATCAATCCAAAATAATAAATTAGTCCATAGAATAATAATATTCATCCATTTTACTAGTTATATATTAAACATCTAACATAGTTTGATAAATGTTCCTAAATCCATAATATAGTCTTACATTTTGACAACAACATCCTCCATATTCAATTATCCAAAAATATGAAGAAAGTAAAGAATCAAAACTAGCAAAATAACAAGTAGAAAATATTCGAACTTGATATTTAATATTAGTCATTACCTAGTAAATGAAGTAAATTGGTCATGAAAAAATTACACCGATCAGAAGGACAAGTCATTAAAGCTTTAGCCATGTTTGGTTTATCCATAAATAACATAAAAGCTTTTGTTTCTAGAATGA